AATATTAGCTCTCACACTTATATTGTCCAGAGAGCACCACAAAACAAGCACCTTTTCTGGGTTGATGACAGCACCCATTTCTGCACACCAGTCAGTCACTTTGTCTACAGTTGCCTATAGCTCTTGGGCTATCCGTTGTCTGTCACTCCCGTGTTTATATGCAAGAAAATCATCAGCAAATGTCAATATCCTTCCAATCATGGTGCTTCAACGTCTGCAATCTTGCTTGCATGCACATGGAAGAGCAACGGTGAAATTGCAGAACCATGGGGTAGTCCCGGGGCTTTATTACATGGTTCTGAGATCCACGTACCAAAGAGAAATGGCAACCATCTGTGAATGCAGGACAGCTGCTATCCAGTTCACCAGCCAGGGACAAATCCCCTTCTCCCCGAGTGCAGATATCAAAACATCATATCTGACTCTATTGTAGGCAACTTTAAGATCAAGTGCTGCCACAATTGTCTCCTGTCTGTTCTGGAACACTTCGTAAACATCAAAAGTAAAAGTAGCTGCATTAGACCATGTATCTTTCTGAGGCCGGTAACTACCCAAACCTTTTAGCATTTGTAGGGTGATAATCCTGAAACCGCGAAGTCTGGAATGATCTTTGCCTGGTTGTGGAAGGGGGATCGGGTAGCTGTGTACCCAATCTCGGGGTACTGACGCTGTTCTGATGATCTGGTTGAAGTGAAATGCCATCTTCTTAAGTCATCATCACTCATGCTCTTCATGTGGGCATACCTGACTCCATCTAGCCCCAGCACAGTTTCTTTTGCTTTTTTGCAATATACATTTTACATCCTAAATGTTCCCTTTCAACATTTTTTTTGCATCTGCTGCACAGAGCTTGATCTCTTTTACTTTTTCTTTTCTTATATTTTCTAGCTTATCAACATCCTCTTGCGACAGGTGCCTTTCGGAATTTCTGCAATTGTTTAATTGCTACTCGCTTTGCTTTCCATGCCTGTCATACTTCTTGGGTCCACCATGGAGGCTGCACAAAAAAAGAGGTGATAGTTCTGCTGCATGACTTCTGTCGAAGGCGTTCAAGAAGGGCACTGGTCCTCTCACACTTAAAAGTCTTGCGCGTTCTCACAGCCCTGACCTTGCTAGCTTTAGAAATCAAGACTGAGCATGGCATATGGTCGCTACGATGATCGCCTAGGACACTCCATTTTGTGTCCAGCACAGCTGACTGTGTAACAAACGCCAAATCAATAGCTGTATCTACATGACCAGGTCTCGTAGCCATTCTAGTTGGCCTACCATCGTTTATACAGACTAAGTCTACATCCACCATAGCCTCTGCTAAAGCATTTCCTTGTCTTATTTTCCCAGTACTGTCCAATGCTCTGTTCCGCGCATTGAAATCCCCACAATTACCAGGGATTTCCTCCAATTCACTGAGCCAGTCCCAATGTTCGCTTGTGACAAGAGAGTCATCCGCAGCGTAAACATTTACTATATTCCAGGTTGTGCCCCCATTGGTACCGGTCACAATCTGGTTATATGTTCTTCTTGCCTTTTCCCTGAGTGTAGTGAGCCAAGCCAGACCCCCTGGTTACACCCAGGTGCCTCATTCTTTCCAGGCCATAATAATCTTCTTTCTCTACTTATTCCTGTGCTTGTTCCCAGTGTATGAATTCACCACCCATTATCACAAGGGTAGGAACCTATAACTTATTCGTTCTACTTCTGACTTAAGCCCGAGTCCGAAGAAATTCCATAGCACCAGCCAGGATCCTAAAATACTTTGGGTAGATTTTTAACTCCAGATTTTGCACTAGCAGTGCCGTTAGGCTACCCAGCCTATGCCACTAGTTGAACAGCCCTGACTTTTAATGGTTCAAGCACATGTGTCAACTATTCGAATGAACGTGAAAGTAGACAACAGTGACAAACACGTTGTACATATAGATAGCCGCTCATGCCAGCAGACGCGGGTAAGTTCATGTCTGCCAGCGCCCACATGTGACAACAACACATGTTGGTAGTTACCTACAATAGTTATTTACAGCAGCTACGTGACGCAACATTTCCACTTGCAGTTTTATTTCTGAATCACACAACCTGTTTTTATAGTCTGCTGGATAAGCCGACCTATATTTTGTTTTAGTTATGTACGTAGATCTGCCTGTCACTTGTAACGTCAATTGATAACACTACTACACTACCTACTGCAGCGCAAGGCCGCCAGCTGGCTGTCGCCTCAGTCGTCATGCTAGTTTCTTTACAGCGATTGGCGAGCAAGATGACGGATCAGTTTATTTTTCAAGCCGCCAGGGCTAGTTTTAATTCTTTTATTGGAGCAAGTGTAGGAAATCACACGATGGACACTCATACAAAACATTTTACTGCTACCGCTAGCAATGGTCAGCGGCCGTGTGGTCGTGATAGTTACGAGGTTGGTTTGGCATTTTTATTTTGTTGAGTTTACTTTTCAGTTGTTGCTTTTATTTTTAGTTTAACTCTTTCAGGCCCATGAATTTTGACAGACTTGGCCCACATTAATTTCCCTTTACAAAAATGGCAGAGGGGTGGGTGTACAAGAAAGGCTGTAGAGATTGTAATATACTTCTAATCCATACAACAGTATATATTTTTTTAAAGAGAAATGAGTGTACATTCTGAATCTGATGATAAGTGATTGTTTGATTTTGTTATAGTTAGTGGAAAAGAAGAATTCAGCAGGTGTTAATTTCACAAGGACAACATTTCACAAAAAAATTCTTCACTTACTATGGTTTTGCAGCCACAAGAATAGTAAATATCCAAATTTGAGAACAAAACTTCAAACTTCAAAATTTGTTCAATTTCCTAACATTCTAAAGTTATGATAACTTTCTGGGTTAGTTTATCACCCAGGGGCTCTTAGTTCCCACAGAGTGCTAAGCAAAATTTCAGAGAAAAAATGGCAGAAAAATGAGCCATAACACACACACTATTTACTATTCACTTCGTACAGTTATTTACAGACAATTTAGCTTAGCCATAGTATAGTACTATCTCTTTGTTTAGAGCACTTTCCTTCTCTTACACCATAAATACGGTAGCATGGGACATTGTCTGTGTAATGAACTCGTCAGAATCGCTAGATTCCGAACAGCTGATAGCTCAGCTTCACTGGTGAAAATACACCGTCCGAATCACTTTCCTAAAAATCTAAATGTTTATTATCATTATCACAATTAAAAACATCTGATTGAAACAATTTCAGAGCTTCGGCCGCAGAAAGACGCATTCTGTGACCTGTTCTTGTGGTTAGAACATTGGTATTCAGTGCACTCAAACACAAACTTAGAAAATGAACTGTTAAAAAAATTTTAATGTTTTTTTTCTCTCAAATTATCCACGAGTGGTTTAGTCCAAGAAATGAAACTAAAAGGATTTCGGCAGAGTGACTTTCCCTGAATAGGTTATTCGTACCTCCAAACATTAGAAACTAGTACGAACGCGCGTGCGAAGCAAAATGTAAGAGACACACGACTGACGATGACACCGTTGTTTGGGCAGAACGGAACTTCTCAAACTACGCTCACACCGTTGTTTGGGCCTTAAAGAGTTAAATGTTTAGGTAGGTTCTGTTTAAATTACTTCGGTATCGGTTCTACTAGTTATGGTTATTTGTTTTTGGTTTGGTGACGTGAAATATTTTTATAAATTGATTTATTCATTTATTGCCTAAAGAGCTATGAGTAAGCAGCTCAGTGAGCTCAGAAGTGAGATAGCAGAAAGCAGTTACCAGAGAAATTATTGTCTGATTCTCAGTCTGCATTGCGGAAGGTTAAAAATGGACTAATGTGGCATGAATGGATACCATGCGTCAGTATATGCCAACTATGCAGGAATACATGGATATACTGTCTGGAATACGCAGGATTGGGGGGGGGGGGGGGGGGATGGGGGGGGGGGGGGGGGTGAAAAAGCAAATTTTCTGGCTTCAAAAGCGAAAGCTACGGAAACACTGGTACTGGAGAAGAGAGATATTCTGAAGACCATATATGAACGATTCTTGGCAGTAGACATGAGATTAGATGAAAAATAACAATGGGCAAGAATGTGTGACCAAGGACTTAAGTGTGGATACCGCAAGAGTAGGGACGGATAAGAGGAAGAGATCGGCTTGTGTATAATCAGTGTGCTACGGGAACAGTTAGCATCTACATTTGCTGCATGAGATATCAGGTAGAGCATCTATGGGTATGCCCAGTGGGCTATGATGTTGATTCTTAAATAAGTGAGTTGAGTTCTGGGGCCCCATTTTGAAAAGAAAGATAAGACCTTCTGCCCTCTTACTTTGCACCTACACAAAACTACAAAAGCGTATTGTAAAAGGCGACTAATTATAGGGGAGTATCATTTGAAGTTGAAGTGCATCTGCTTGAGAGGGGAAAAAAAGAAAGAAACAGTGATAAATAAGCCATATTTGTTGAACGGATTGGATTAACACACAGCCAGGCACAAGAGGTAGTCTATTCATAGTAGGTCTAAGAGGTTTTGTCGACCAGCATAGGACTGGCACTGTAAGCCATTTGATGGTGAATTTATTGGGGGGGGGGGGGGTTCTAAGTAAAGCATCTATGGATGAGTCCGGAGGGCTTAGAAGATAACCTAACCCAAATCATAACTAACCTTTGCTAACTCAAAGGCAAATCATAGCTTCTTTTTATCTCCAGTTGTCTCCATGCGTCTTTTTTATCATTCATCCACATAACAATAATTACTTTGTGCCTGTTTAGCTGTGATATTTGCGTGTTTTAGCCAACACATCTGACTTTACTGGGCATTTGTTCACAAGGTTGGCTTTACTGGGTCTCCATGCCTCTGATACACCACCCTGGGAATTTAATAACTTCATGGATTTATTATTTTATTACAATTTAAGAGTTCACTATTTTTTTTTAGAACAGTCATTACCTATGTATCTTTATGAACAGTAAATAAACTATTCTTAATTACTGTGCATTTTATTTTTTTGTGGAATGTTCTCTCACTAGGATGCAATGAAAGCTCTTCAAAATCTTCAGTCTAATGCTGAGATCATTGCAAAGGCTCGTCAGAATCCAAACAAAAAGCCAACTAAAAACATTCCTAACATGATCAAATACATTATTCGTTCAGGTTTAACGGTAGGTCAGATTTTTTTTTTTTACTCTCCTCATTAATACAACAAATAAGCTTTTAGATTCATCAGAAGCATGTAATTTATGTATAATAAATGTCAGTTTCACGTAGGTATTGTCTCCACGGTGTATATTTTATGTAAAAGCATATTATTTATGTAGCATTTTATTTATATGTGCATATTGTTAATGTTATCACATATCAACTTCATGAACCTACAAGCAGATCTGTAAGTACAGGTTGATGTTTAAATTTCTGGCACCCTCTGAACCCGAGAAGTGCTTATCATGTAAAAATGCTGGATGCTGTTTATATTTAACAGAAAATGGCTACCCATACAGTCCTTTAACTCTTTAAGTCCCAGGGGGTTTAGCATTAGAGGCCCAAGGGGTAGCCAAGATAGACGTAAAATCTGTTTATCTTGCGTTCATTGGGCCTCTAAGTAGGAACTTATGAACGTATGAATCTTTCCTTGGGACTCAAAGTTAAAAAAGAAAAGTAAACGCTAAATGAAATTTTAATGTTGATGCACTAAACAGGACACTTCTACTAAATTTTAGTTCAGCTGAATAAAATAGCTCCTCTAAATTTTAACTGAAAATTTTTATTTTGAAAATATGCTATAAAGTCTGTGCTTGGAATCTGTTTTAGATGGAAGATGTCGACAAACTCTCTGTAATTCATGTCAGCGGGACGAAAGGTAAAGGTTCCACCTGTGCTTTCTGCGAGAGAATCCTGCATTCTCATGGTTATAAGACAGGCCTGTTTACTTCCCCTCATATGATTGAAGTACGAGAGAGGATAAGGATCAATGGACGCCCAATTAGTCAGGATCTGTTCAGTAAATACTTTTGGAGGGTTTACGACAGTCTGGAGACAACCCAGACGGAGGTAAGCTCATTATATGTTCTTGTTTTTTAATGTATGTGTTACTTTTTTGTGTCCGTATCAGGACCCTAAAACATTGGTCTGCTATGTTTGTACTGCCTCTGATGCATCAGCCGTCTCCATGCTCAGTGTGCCCAGTAGAAGTTGATTGGCATATCTTCTATCTTTAGGCTTCTGGCCTAAAATTGTGGATATTCTTGGCAGAATGTTGAGCTTTACAGTTATTTTTGCTAATGCAGTTTCCACATCTGGGCGATGGTCTACGGTTTAGCTGCCTGAGCTGCTGAGTTCAGTGCTTGGTGCAGCCCTGTGAGCTGTGTTTTTTCCTGTCGAATGCCATTCATTTATGCAGTGGTTGTGTCATGGTATTCAGTATGGCGGGTATCTGGTTTACCTGTGAGCTGGTGAAATACTTTATGCAATAACTATACTATAAGTAGCTAACTTATCGTGCCCAACTACTTCCATCAATGAAAGACTGCATTTCTTGTGATGACTGTTTGCTTTGGCACCTCTAGAAACTGAAATTTGCATTTACTGCATGCGCATATTTCTGGATTGTTTTGGGACCAATTGTTTGTTCACCAGTTTTTTAAATGTGATAGTGAGGGATATTTCATTTGATTTTCACTGGCACAGGAACAGAGCTAGTATGGGGGAACTCGATTGCATTGAAGTTGAAACCTCGACTAAGTCTGTCTTTGAACTGCAACCAGTTTCTGCATGCTTGTCTTAGATGAATTCGCATTTCTGACGGTGATTCATCCTGATTCCTTTGTCTCATAGTCTCTGGAACACAGCGTTAGACTGTGGTTGGTATGCTTTTTTTTTCCCTAGTTTAAATCTCCACACAGGATAAGTTTCATTTAGTGATCACAGTGCTGTGTAGTTGACCTTGCTTCATTAAAGGGGTCGCAGGCAGATTTCTGAAGCCATGGTGGCCAAATGAATCTTTGTTCATGGTCAGATCTTTTAGGATGTCATTATTTCTTTTCTTCTTGGTCCAAGGTATTCTGAGAATATGTCTAAAGCATTTCAGCTAAAAAGCCCCCATTTTCTTCCTTAATGACAATGAGATAGTTGGCTTCCAAGATAAGGTTTTGGGGATAATATTGGCGTAGTTTGCTCTTGCTTTTCACATCCACATAGCTTTAGACTATGTCTTTGCTTTAGCAAACTTAGAAATTGTTAAGGCAAGGCCAAAGATAGATACATATGTTTGTGAGTGTGTGTGTGTGTGGGTGCATGCAGACATACTAATAAATTTTCATACTTACAAATAGACAAATATACATGTGCATACACATGTACACACACATATATATAAAGTCAGAGAGAGAGAGAGTAATCAATGCTGTGATAGGTAACAACATGTCTACACTCCTTCTTGTTTATTAATATTCTTATCATGTTTCCCTAAGCCTTGACTCTTGGCCTAAATGTTAATCACTGTTGGTATTTTTACATTAAAGATTACTAGTTCTGGTTTCATCCAGTTGCTCTAGTCACCTGTTCACTTACCATACATGCCCTAGTTATCTGGCTTGTACAATCTGTCTCGTGTTGATCTGTGTACCAAGACTTGGGTTTATGAATTAATGGTTCTGTCAAGTATGTTGGGATTGTTGGTGTGTGGGGAAGGGTGGTGCAAGAGATTGCTTGTGCAGTTTGATAATGTAATTAGATATTCAGGTTGTAAGAAAGGGATGTAAGAAGTGGTACTGGAGATTGTGGATGTTATCTGTAGGAAAAGGGAGTCGGATCTGTTAAAGATTTGCAGGGTATGTGGGAGATAATGGGTGTTGTATGTGGTGTCCTTGTGGGTTCTAGGGGCTCCATTTTGTAAAAACAAAAACCCACTGCTCCCTTTAACAAGCATGTCATAGGAGGCAACTAATTAGGGGTGCTTCCTTCAAAGCGGGAGTGCATCTGCCTGAGTGACAAGGGATCCATGGTTTGTATACAGATTAGCCAAATCTTTGAGATAGATGTGCAAGCAAAACTTGAGTTCTGGATCAGGACCAAATTCCAGTAGTGGACAAACAACCAGAACTTTCCGCTAGAGTCTACATCCTGTGAACTCTGAAAAGAAGAAGAGTGCTGGAAATATAGTAGTAGTACAGATATAAATATTATTGCGTATTAGGTATAGGATTAAATTTTGTATGGGATGTGTGTGAGAAAAACATGGTATGGTAATTTGCATTTTGGATGTGTGTAGGAAGTAATATCTATGGGTAGTCTTATAAAATGATACGAAAAGATGTTAGTATCTGCGTTGTTACATAAGATACAGTATGCTAGACTGCAGTAAGATGGTAAGAATGCAACAAATAAAATAATTTGTTTCTGTGTTGTGATGAATGCCTTCTGCCAATAAGGCCCAGTCTATAATATTTGATAGTACTGTTGTAAATCATAACCTGTCCACATTTTGTTTTGAATGGACGAACACCGAGAACTTTCTACACCAGAGTTTACAGCTTGGTGAAACGCGCGAAGAATAAGAAGCATAACCTGTATTCATGTATCTGGGTAAAGATTCAACATCACAGCATTTAGGACAAGCCCAGATATGCTCTGTCCCCCTCCTCAACAGCCAGCAATGGGTCTCCATACTGATGGTACCTGTTGGTTAACCACTTGTCTTGCATTTTCTTGAGTCTTCAGTGGAATCCAAATTAAATTATTCATTTAGTTTGTGCCAAGAAACTGAAGTAATTAAAGAGCTTTCAAGGGACATGATTCTTCTTCTTCTTTGTTCACTGGCTGTAAGCTCCGGTGGAAAGTCCTGGTTCGTCCATTTGGACACTGGCTTTGTGACAGGACCTGAGTTTTGTTTGCATATCAGTTTTCCTGGCTTATTTTTTTGCAGTTGGTTATTCTTTGCCGCTCAGGCAGATGCATCCGACTTTAAAGGAAGTCCCCAGTTAGTCGACTCCTATAACATGGGGAGTCAGTGGGTCTGTTCCTGGGTTCCCCACAATGGGGCCCCAGAGCCCACACGGGAAGGGACGTGATTAACTGTCAGTTAGCTTGACACTTTGTGGTGGTCACAATAATGATGATGAGACTAGATTTTTGTAAATTATATTTCAAACAGCATGCATTCTCTCTCCTTTTTTAGATTGGAGTAGGTGCTGACAATGGAGGGGGAATGCCGCCATATTTTGCCTTTCTTACAGTTCTTTCCCTTCATGTGTTCTTGTCGGAAGGTGTGGATGTGGCCGTCATTGAAGTAGGAATAGGCGGTCAGTTTGATAGCACCAACTTCTTTCGGAAGCCGGTCGTGTGTGGAGTGACATCCTTGGGGCTAGACCATACGGCGATTCTAGGTAATACCATCACAGACATTGCATGGAACAAGGCAGGAATATTCAAGGTAACCGTTGGGGGGAAGAATTGTAATCATTAGTATGTAGGGAGGGTGGGGGACCACAACATGGCTTCTTCTTCATTTGCCCTTGGTACATTTGAGGTTGGCTCATTGTGGTTTACAGTTAGACTGCAATATCTGTACCTTTTAACCCAACAAATCCAATTTTTGCAGGTGCTAACTTAGTTACCATTGACAGCATGCTTGTTAGTCTGCTGTAGGTCTATCCTTTCTTACTCTTCTTCACTCCAGGGAGGCTCCAGAATCTTCACAGGGAAAATACCTTCTGAAGCTGTTACTTTCAGAAAAGAATGGGGATTATATCATGTCTTCTGGAAAACATGATATATACAAGCTTTATTTTTAAAGTGTCTCAAATTGGGCATACAGACCTGTCTTACATTTCACACTATTCCAACCACTCATCTTTTCATAAGCATTTGCATTTTATGATTTATGGATGTCGGATTCATTTAGCTGTATAGATAATAATGCTAGATACAGTCAGAGAAGCATGGATTTAGATGTACATACAGCTATTATTCATGTCTAAACCAGAAGTGTGACCATGCCTACAGATAAATAAGGAGATAGAAGGTTTCGAGCAAAAGTAGGATTCAGACATGGGTCCATCTTTTTCCCAGCACTGTTTAAAATCTTAGAAAGAATAGTAACTTGCTGTAGAAAACCATGCTGGAACTGTTAACACAGCGCTGTTTAAAATCTTAGAAAGAATAATGACTTGCTGTAGAAAACCATGCTGGAACTGTTAACACAGCGCTGTTTAAAATCTTAGAAAGAATAATGACTTGCTGTGGAAAACCATGCAGGAACAGTTACCACTAGATGACAAAGCATAACAACAGCAAATCTGAGATATTAGCTGGCCAGGCTAGATGAGGCAAATGCTGGCTGAGCTGATCAAACTCCTTGATGAGGCATCAACTACGTACAGCATGGAAATATATACAGACAAGACTAAAATAATGAAAAATTAACCAGTTGGTATTAATACACTAATGTACTTTAAAGGTCACAAAGTAGAACAAATAAACCAGTTCACATATCTAAGATCCACCCTGATTGGCCGAGCTGCAATCAGAAATCATGTCAAGAAATACTGAAACAGCATCTATAGCCTTCATATGGCTGAAAAACTATTCCCACGCTTGCGCAAAGTGATTCTATGGAATAATGTTCAATAGGACACACTGAGAATACATGTGAACAGTATAACTAGAATGTCTTTGGAACCCACAGTGGCAGGGAAATAAAGGCAGACTAAAAAACACATGTGGGTGGTAGCTAGAAAGGGAAGTTGAAAAGAAGGGGAAGCCATGGATTGAGGTGCATAACAAGTATAGCAAGGAATGGGATGACCTGGCATGATATGGTTAAGGACCTATGCTCTATTGAGGGATAAAGGTCAAAAGAAGAAAACACAAGGGGTAGACCGAGTCTCAAAACAATGGTTTATATCAGTGATCCTTAGCCTTCTTACACCCGTGCCCCCACCCCCGCCTTAAAAAAACAGGAACTTGTTTCTCTGTCCACCTGACAGCTTACCAAACACAGCTGCTTAGATGTTTGAAAAAATTGATATATGTGGCTGGAGCGTGGCTTCTGACATACCAAGAGCTATAATAACATACAAATTCAATGTCTCCTGATCATATATTCACACAAACAGGAAGTCCCTGAGGCGTTAATCCTAAAGACTGGAATAGAAAGAAGAAAAACCACCTACCCTACCTCGTTACACAATTGAGCAGAATTTTTTGGCTGCTCACAATGACTTTTCTCTGGCCCACTGGATCAGATGAAATCTACTGCAGACATGCTCTCCACATGCAGTAAAGATATGCTGGGTCTGGCCAGTTAACCTTCCGGTTGAAACCAGGCTTTGTGGATCAGGGGAGGACACCCTTGGCACTACAGCCTTCATGGTCTGTGGCTTCTCATCTGAAAGCCACTGGCAGGGAGAAGGAAAAGAAGAAGATGAAACCTCACTTCAAAGGATGACAGTGTGTTTCGAGATTTAGTTGACCTGAATGCTGAAATATGAGACTTTCAGAGTTGGAGTTACTGTCATTGAGAGAATTCAGTACCATCTCATCAAGTTACTAAATATACCAATATTTGTTTTACAAGAAACTGAACAGCAGTCTGTGTCTCTCTGTCTCTATCTCTCTCTCTCTCTCTCTCTCTCTCTCTCTCTCTCTCTCTCTCTCTCTCTGTCTCTCTCTCTCTCTCTCTGTAATTAACTGTCTTTCTTTCTTTTGTCATCTCACTGATACCAGGTTGTAGCCCGGTGTCGATTAGATGTCAAGACAGATCAAATGTTTCTTTTACATGTCTAAATATCCTTTTAGTTTTTATACATTTTTATGAAAAGCTGTGTTCCAAAAAATTAGCTAATATTTTGCCAATTAAACCATAAAAAACTTGTACTGTCTTAATTATTTTTCTGCAAAGCATAACACTGTAAATTCATTCTTTTGTTATATTGTTGGCAGCCTGGCCGACCAGCTATAACTATTCCACATGACCGGACAGCAATGGAGGTTTTACTGAAGCGAGCCCATGAGATTCAGGTATGATTGTTTTACAGGTAGATGATGTATGTAACTGATTCTATCAATATATATTTACATTTAAGTGGCTCATCTTTCTTTCACACTTCATTGTGGGATTTTATGTATCTCCTGCAGTCATGTATAGAAAAGATTGGATTGTTTAATTAAGAATTGACATAATTTGTTTTTGTTTTCTAGACTTACCTTCTGCCCCACCGTTAAAAAGGTGGTTGGCACATTGTGTTTTGGTTTACAGCTAGGCTGTGATATCTATGAATTTCAGTCTTAACACATTCAGTTTCAGCATAACCTTGATTATTAGTTGCCTTTTATGGCATTCTTATTAGGGGGGTAATTTCTCTTCCCCCCCTCCCCTCCTAATCCAAGTGGGGGAACAATCTCCTACCCTCTCTCTTCCAATCAAATGCAATCAGTGACATTCCATCCTTTTTTTAACTGCATCACACCCTCCCTCTGAGTGGGTTCCAGTGCCCCATTGTGAGGATATCAAGAATAGACCCCACTGCCTCTCCAAAAAGCATGTCGTAAGAGTCGACTGGAGGGCTTCCTTCAATGTGCATCTGCCTGAGACTAGGAACCAATAATCTGCATACACATGTCAGATCTGTCAAATGCATGTGCATGCTACAGCCAGGTTTCTGAAACGAGACTCAAGTACAGCGGTGGACTAACAACCAGACCTTCCCTCTGGAGTTGACATCCTGTGAATGCGGAGAAGAAGGAGATATGTTTTCATGCTCTGATTATAATGTTTTCAGAATCCTCTTTACCTAGCAGTGGAAATGACCAGGGAATGTATAGAGAGACATCATGTGAAGCTGGGTATTGCTGGAGCCAAACAAGTGGAGAATGCTTCTCTAGCCATTCAGTTGTGTCGTATGTGGGAACAGAACCACACCTCAGGTATATCATTAAGTGCTTAGTCTAGATCAGAAAGATGTTAGTGTATCTTTACTCTCCACTTATTTGTCTCATAAAATTATTTTAATAAAATTGTTTACGTTGTAAGCAGCATTTTTACCAACATTGTGTTACCATTGTCTATTGTAAATATTAACAACAAAATGGAAAAGAAAACTCAAAAGAGCAGAAATAAAATGTCTACAACAAATTGTAAATGTACCTAGAAGAGACAGGGTTAGAAATGACAATATCAGGAAACAAGCTGGGTCGTAGCAAGTACTAAACTACACACGAGACAACAGGTCATATAGTTCAGGTATGTGTCAAGATGACCACCAGATAATGCACCACAAAGTCCGGTCACTTAGACTGAACGCAAGCAGGGCGAGAGTCAACAGCGCAAGTGATGGTTAAATTGAATATCTGAGGCCATAAATACCACAGTGTGATATTAGAATAGACGTAGAACCTGTATTGCTATATGATAGTGAATCATGGAATGTGAATGCACAAATTATAAAGACCCTGGAGGCAATGTAGGTGGGATTTTTCAGACGTATGTTAAGAATCCCTTTGACTGCCAGAGTAACTAACGAGGATTGCTTGATGGAAGCTAATGAAAGCAGATCACTATATGCAGCTATAAGGTAAAGACAAGCACTGTTCTTTGACCATGTGATGAGGGGAGGCTATGCAGAATATTAAAATGCCTGGGAAGATCAAAAGTAGAAGAGGAATAGGCAGACTAAGTGAGATGATGATGGATGGACTGCGACAGTGGTGTGGAGGGATATCATCGGTGGAACTGATCCAGAGAAAAAGAGATATTTGTGGAGATGCATGAAGGCCTATGCCACTCGGCAGGGCACATGACGATGATGATAAAAACCAGCATCTGCATAGCAGATACCAAGGCCACACCCAGTGCCTCTACAAAACATGACACTGAAAGGCAGAACAGGACTGGATAAGAAGAAGAAGAAGAAAACTAAGTTTTTATAAGCTGCAAAACTTTCCACAATCATTTTTCAGTTTGATTTTTTTTCCCATTGGACCAGTATGTTTCTGCAATCTGTTACATAGTTAATTTATTTCACTGGGTTTCTTTATCCTCCAGTGTGTCGTATGTGACTAATTATTTAATTATTCATCATTTACTTTGATTTTCTTATTTCCCCCAATAGAGCATAAACCCTTAGTTTGAGTGACTCAATTGTTTTTTTTTGGGTCTGTCTGAATTATCACTGTTATATACAGACATCCTAAAAGATCTGAACTTAAACACAGTTTGGCTAGTAAAGAGCATCCTGTCTCTAAAACTGAAATATTTTGGCCATATCAAATACCACGCCAGATTGGAAAGAATGATAACAGGAGGCATGGTACCAGGAAAGAGGGACAGGGGCCAACCAGCACGATGATGGTCATAGGATTTAAGTGACACTTTGGGTTAGGAAGAAGCACAAGGTGAGAGACTGCATTCCCTTCAGACAGACTGTGATAAGAGCAGTGTTCTGCAAAGGACTTACTACCTGATGATATATACTAAAGTATATTTATATTTTCATTTCCTCAGGCAAAAGCATGGTGCCACACCCTCCAACATCTGCAAATTCTATTGAAGAGATCCCACAGTTAAAGATCTCTGATTTAGATGAAGCAACAGTCCAAGGTAAACTTTGATATTTGTATTTAGAGAGCAACATAGTGCTGTGGATGCAAAATAAGTTCAGTATTCGGTGCTTTATTAATATCTTACCCCAAACAGGGGAAATCCACATGTGACGAGACATTCTAATATTTCAGGGGGTAGTAGATAGGCTGCATGCAGTTGTGGGACCTAGGCTGCACTCTCTCATGGGATGTAGGTGGGTTAGGGTTAGGGCCAGTTCTAGATGTCTTGGGGTAGTTAAAAGCATCAGAAAGCCGGGAAACTCAGTCTTCTCTTCTCTTCTGCCTTTCTATCCCCCAATGGAGCATAGGCCCTCAACCAACTCACGCCAAGTCGTTCTATCCTTCTCCATTACATGGAGCTCTCCCCATGTCCTCCCAATCTTTCTAACCTCATTCTCCAGCTCTCTTCTCCATGTGTTTTTTGGCCTTCCTTTATTCCTATGCCCCTGTGGGTTCCAATGCAAAGACATTCTAGTTATGCTGTTTTCTCAGTGTGTGCCCTATCCAACGCCAGCGTCTTTTCCTCACCTCCTGATCCACTGGAGCCTGTTTAGTTCTCTCCCAAAGTTCTACATTAGTTATTCTATCATACCATTAAATTCCCTCTATTCTGCGCAGGCACCAGTTAATGAATGTCTGCAATTTATTAGTAATTACCTTCGTTGTTCTCCATGTTTCCGCCCCATACAATAGTACTGATTTGACATTAGAATTAAAATTTTTTAGTTTAGTATTTATTTTCATTTCTTTTGACCTCCACAAATTCCCTAGTGCTATGAAAGCCCCTCTTGCCTTTTGTATTCTTATTTTAATATCTCTATCAGTTCCTCCATCTTTATCTACATTACTGCCTAAATAGGTGTACGACTCCACGTCTTGGAGTGGGGTGCCATTAAGAGAAACCACATTACTATTTGCCTGATTTATTCTTATTATCTTTGTCTTTCCTTTATGGATATTCAGACCAAGCTGCTGTGATCTCGCATTAAGTATATTTAATTTATCTTGCATCTGATTCCGTGAATGGGACAGAAGAGCAATATCATCAGCGAAGTCCAGATCATCAAGCTGTTTTGTAGGGGTCCACTGAATTCCATTCTTGGTGTTAGCAGTTACTGTTTTCATAGTCCAGTCTATAGCCAGTAAAAACAAGAGAGGCGACAAAAGACATCCCTGTCGCACACCTGTTTTTATTTCAAATGCATCTGTTAGCTTCCCCTCATGAAGAACTCGACATTTCATGTCTTGATATGTTGCCTTTACTAAGTTGATAATTTTCTGTGGGATTCCATAGTGCCCCATCAATTTCCAGAGAGATTCCCTATCTATGCTGTCAAATGCTTTTTCATAGTCTGTAAATCCAATGTAAAGTGGTAATATCAGTTCAATGCTTTGCTCTATTATAATACGTAATGTGGCTATCTGATCAGTACAGGATCTGTTTGACTGAAAACCTGCCTGCTCATCTCTTAGCATTTTATCAATAGCATCTTTTAATCTTTCCAAAATAATTCTACTTAATATTTTTCCAGGAACTGACAGCAACATAATTCCTCTATTTTTTTTCACACTCCTGTAGATCACCTTTTTTTGGGCAGTTTCACAATATATCCTTCTCTCCAGTCTGCTGGTATTTCTTCGGTCTCCCAGACTTTACTGAATAATCTATGTAGCAATTCTGTTGATGTGTTTATGTTGGTCCTGATGGCTTCAGCTGGGATACCATCTGGGCCTGACACCTTTCCTTCCTTAAGAAGATTTATAGCTTTTCTAATTTCCTCTTTGGATGGTATCTCACAGTTGATATCCAGTTCCATTTCTAAAGGCTGGATATCTGGGGTAACCTCTGGGCCTGGTCTATTTAGAAGCATTTCAAAATATTCAACCCATCTGTCCATTTGATCTTTAGTGTTAGTAAGTACCTGTCCTTGACTATTTTTGATTGATCCAGTTGGCTGACTATATTTACCTACTAATTTTCTTGTGTTACTGTAAAGTTCTCTGAGGTTTCCTTTTGCTGCTGCTGTCTCCGCTTCTTGTGCTAGATCATTTAGATATTTCACTTTATCTGCCCTTATATGCCTTCTAACTTCCTTGTTGGCTTCTGTGTAATTCTTCTGAGCTCTAGCTTTAGCAGCTCTAGTTTTGCTATTGTTTAATTCTGCCTTTTTACTTTTCCTATCTTCAATCAGTTTAATGGTTTCTGGTGTTATCCATGCTTTATGTTTCCTTTCTTTCTTGCCAAGAACTTCTACGCAAGATTCATTCCAGATTCCTTTGATCTGATCCCAGCAGACTTCTGTGTTGACATCTTCAGCTAACTGCTGCAACACCTGGTACTTATTAGAGACCGTAACTGAGAACTGTTCCTTAATTTCTTTATCTCTGAGAAAGCCTACATTATATTGGTTTCTATGATTATAAGATGTTATATATCTTTTTAGTTTCAACTTGATTTCACTTATCACCAGGAAATGGTCAGTAAATACATCGGCACCTCTGAAAGCCCTAACATCGTAAAGGGATGATCTAAACTTTTTGTTAATACATATGTGGTCAATTTGATTAGTTGTCTTATGGTCTGGTGATTCCCATGTTGCCTTGTGTATTCTTTTATGGGGAAAAATACTTCCACCAATAACATACTGGTTACCTGCACAAAAATTTGTGAACAATTCTCCATTTTCATTCATTACTCCTAGACCATGTCTCCCCATAATTTCTTCATAACCGGGAAACCCAGTCTTACCACCCTCTAAAATGTTGGACTGTCCTGTGACGTCATCTGCAGTAGGATATTAATAAAGCACCCAATATTCTTCTTCCTTAATCTCCTTATGAAGCCTGTGAGCAAAGTGTGATTGGGACTTTATTGTTGGCAGAGGTTGCAGTATGTGCATCTATTACCGAAGCTCTTCTTCTTCAAGTTCACCGGCGGAGAGTTCTGGTTGTTCGTCCATCTCTGGACTTTAGTCCTATTCCAGAACCTGAGTGCTGTTTGGCACACCTGTTTTACAAATCCTACTTATGTGTATGCAGATTGTTGGTTCCTTGCCAGTCAGGCAAATGCACTTAAGACTTTGAAGGAAGTCCCTAATTAGTCGACTCCTGCGACATGCCTGTTGGAGAGGCAGTGAAAGCTTTTGCTGTAAACCACAATTGCAGTGTTAAGTGCAGCACAGTTTGATCACAGTGAACACTACAGCGCAGCGCGTCATGTTGAATTTACTACCCCTACACAACTGAGCGTCGGCTCTGTGGCTAAGTCAATGCAAACGCTTCGTAAAGATGGGGTGCCTGGGTTCGATCCCAACTGCGGGCCATGCGCTTTGCGTTGGTTTTGACAGTGGTATCAGGGAGCCGACCGTCCAAAAAGCAATGGCAAACTACTAGACGTAACTTTGCCTAGAAAAACCACACAACAGCCAGGGGCTGCTAGGCTTGGTTCTGCAACGTCCTGCAAAGAATACGCAGCTAACTAACACAACCGAGCTGATGTGGTATAGCGGCTGAATTCTCACCTGCAGGTTCAAAGTTGGTGGGTTCAGATCCTGGGAAGTAAAAGCAGCTAGTAAAAGGCTGTTTGATCTGTAAAAATATGTGTCTAGCCTGATATGCCCGATGCACCATTGGTGTGTAAAAAGATTTATCCTTTTTTTTTTTTAACTCTTGCGCAGGTTTGTCTTCCTGCGTATGGCCAGGTAGAGCACAGACCGTACATAGTGCAGGGGTTACCTACTACCTTGATGGAGCTCATACCAAGGAGAGCATGGAGGTGTGTCTCCCAGTTCAGCTTTGATTCTGAAGCCGGTTCTGCTTGTTTTGTTTCTTCTTTTCTCTTTGCAGCGTTGTTCCAACTTGTTAAAATATGTGAAGATCGCTAATGGCAAGCTGTTGAAGTGGTTGACAGTGTAGCCCGGTAGAGCATCTGGAAAGACTGAATAAAATTAGAATTACTGAAAGAAATGAGAAAGAGACAATTGAAATATTTTTGGCCATATTAAAATACAGAATACATGTTTAACCCTCTTAGCACGAACGGACCGATTATTGGCCGGCGGATGTCTGGCCAAAAACACGGAACGGCCGATCATCGGCCCGATCGTGTTTCGCCTCGACGCGCTAAGAAATCTATTTTTAAACACTGAAAGTGATTCTTTTATATTCGCTGCTGTATTAGCTTTACACATGGCGACTTTCGAGTGTTTGGTATCGAAGTGAAAATTGTTGTTAAATTTTGTAGATAGTGACCTGAACCGCTAAAAGTATGTCTGACTCTTATGTTTCTGCCCCTAAACTTGATGTTGATAAAACATTTGAATCAAGTGATGACACTAATTCTGTTGATACTGATGCAGGTTCTAGTGTTAGTAGTAATAGTGGGGAATCAGATGGAGATGCTGTTGTGTTCAGACCACAGCCTAACCATGGCTTAGGGTATATGCACCCGAAGATGTTGACACTCCGGCACATCCATTTCTTGTGCTAGCTGGTCAAAAAAACACATGTCACCTAAAGATATTATTGCTGTTTCATATATATATATATATATATATATATATATATATATATATATATATATATATATATATATATATATATATATATATATATATATATATATATATATATATATATATATATATATATATATATACCTGTCTTTGACTGTTGAATTGCTTACAACATTTGTAAAAAGGCCAAAGATCAATAAAAAGATTTCAAATAAAATATATTTTTGTTTTTAGTTATGTTTCATGCATTGAAGTAGAAAATTCACATTCTAATTTTCTATTTTTAGATATGCAAATGAGAGAATTTGAATATACATCAATTAATTGTAACGATATTGTGAAAATCATGAACTTCAATCTATATCCTTCAAATAAATGTATTATTTCATGGGGGTCAGAATAACAGAAATGTGTCCAAAAAATTAAAAATTAAGTTATAGCCAAATGTATTGAAAAAATGCTCCGTGTTTTTGGCTAGACATCTGAAAAACTTCCCGTGCTAAAAGGGTTAAATAACCATATTGGAGGGAAAGGGAGGAGCAAGAGGTAGACAATGGTACAAGTGAGAGGACAACATCAAGAGGTGGAAGAACAGCAGTCTTAAAAAGTGTTAAATCAAGACAAGAAATAGAGTGTGTTGAAGATCTGTTGCAGCCAACCTTCATTGTGGAGAAGGCACATGATTGATTGATTGAGCTTCACTGCAGTTGTCTCATTTTTATATTTGATCTGGGCTATCCTCCGAATAACGGGCACATTTTATGGCGGCCGCAAAAAACACCGTAACAGGGCCTCAGTCACATGTCAGTTGCGCACTTCCGGCAACCTAATTTGCGGATTTTCGGCGACTACCGCCACCGCTGAGAGTCATCCCCCGCGGCATGGATTGGGGCTAAACTAGATGGCTGGGACTCACGAGCAGCAGCTTCCGCATCTCCTGCATCTTTGCTCGTGTGGCCCAGCCATCTAGTTTTGCCCCAATCCACTTCGCGCGAACAGTGTGGGGGATACTTGTAGTGGTAGTCGCTGGAAGTTTGCAATTTACATGTCACTGAGGCCTTGTTTTTGGCCGCCATATTATGAGCCCGTTATTCGGAGGATAGCCTTGATCTGAAAACATATAGACAGCTCTGGAGGCATCAGTAGACTAGAAGGACAGAATGTTAGATGAGCCTCAATCTCCAGCCACCAAGTCTGAGCTGGTCAGTCTCACTGGCGTCACAACGTCTACCTGCTTAGTTATGTTATCTGTACCTTAACATCTGGGATAAAGTCTCAGTGTTTGATATCACCAGCAGTCCAGGAGAATTAAATAGGGTTGTTCTGGTAGTCGACATTGATTTAGGATATATCAAAAACCATATTTTTCTGTATACTTTAAAATACATAGATAAAAATGTAGGTTGAGGAAAGACATTCTGAAGTCACCGAGCGTGTCGTCACAATCAGGATCTTCCGTTGAAATCCAAGTGCATCTGCCTGAGTGGCAAGGAACACCCATCTACACACAAATAAGCCAATAAAACGGATGTACACACAAAACTCAGGCCCAGGTACAAAGCCAGAGTCTTTCTACATGGGCAAACAGCTAGAACTTTCCGCCTGGGCTTAAAGCCAGTGAGCAAAGAAGAAGATTGTCCTGAGTGCCGATTTCTTAACCCTTTGAAAATAAAGTTAGTTCATTCACTTCGTTTGTTCGTTCACTTTGGAGAAATACTGAAGATGTGAAAAGATGTAGCTTCACATCATATTCAGAACTGCATTGTTCTTGTTGTTGCTGATGTTGTATTTTATTGGCTTTCTTTTTCTGTCAACCCAGGTCTGTGCACAGTGGTTTCTAGAGGCAGCTGACAGGGACAGAAAGCAGCACAGGTATATCTTTAACACTGGCTAATTCCAGTCTTTGCTCACCAGTCCTCCTTTGCAGAATGTTGCTGTTATCTCAGGCTGCCTCAAAGAAACTTGGTCTCTCGCCAGCTGTCTCGACTCATGCACTTTTATGTCCAAGGTGTCGCCTACATAAAATTACAGTAATTCTTTAAATAAATTGAAATTTTGTTTAGCTGTTCTTGTGGTTGTCCGACAATAACAAGCAGTCCATTGCGAAAGAGATTGGGACCTACTGTGCAGTATTATCTCTCTTCTTCTTAGCTCCTCTGCCTAGCGTTCACCAGGTGTAAACTCCGGTGGAAAGTCAGGTTGTTCATCCACTTCAGGGCTTTGGTCTTGTTCCAGAACTGGAGTATTGTCGGCGCATCTGTTTTATAGGTCTGACTCATTTGTATGCAGACTGTTGGTTCCTTGCCTCTCGGACACAAGCATTCTGAAGGCTGTTTTATCAAAGACAGCAGGGGGTGCTCTGTAGCCGATCTTCAGTGTAGAGACAACGTAATACAATTTTGTAAATACCAGTAATTCATTGTTGTTGTTGTTGGTTTTGTTAATAAATATAGAACCTTAAGCTTACATGCTTGTAACTGTTGCTAGTAGATATAACTTCAGAAAAAAGGAATAGGTAAGCAAACAGAAAAGCGATTACAAAGTTTTAGAATCAGTATTTCACAGACTTCTGGTAGCTGCGATAGCCTGGTGACTAGACACTCACTGTCAGCCCAGGGGGTCTAGGGTTCAAATCCGCATTGAGGCAGATTTTTTTTCAATAGTGACCTTGCCTTCCAGGTTGACCCTGTCTAGAATACATACCAGGTAATCACCAATAAAGTAAAGTCTTTAGACTTTGGAAAACTGACTTCAGACTAAGTGCCCAAAGAAACCACTACACATCATAAACATTGTACGGCTACATTGCCCAAATGCCGCCTGGGTGGTTTTGTGTCCACTGCAGCCTTTCCTTGACCGGGGGGGGGGGGGTCTACCAAGTAGAAAGTAAAACAAGCATCTCATAACAGTCTGCTAATTAAGAGTGTGTACTTTGAAGTCAGAGGGCATCTGCATAAAAGGGGAGGAACCAGCAGTCTGTTTACAAATAAGACACATTCATAAAAATGGATGTGCACGCAACACTCAAGTTCTAGAATAATACTTAAGTCTATGTGTGGACGAACAACCAGAACTCTTCCATCAGTTTACAGCTGGTAAATGCGTAGAAGAAGAAGAAATCCATCCTTGTTAGGGATTTTTAAAAAAAATAATTAAACTCAGATTCTGGACTTGGAGTGGTTAATATTCTGGGATGTATCTACAGCTGGCAAGATAGAGACTTCATCAGCCACTGAGTGCTGATTATTCTATAAGTACTATTTATTACGTATGTTTTGGTAATTGTTCACATTTTCATCAATATTCATCTCTTAAACTTTTCAGCTGGAAGAAATGTGCTCGTGTATTGTTGTTTAATGCAACCAGTGACCGGGAGGTTGCACCCCTGCTAGCTTGCCTTACAGTAAGAAACAGTGTTCTTGTGAGTTCTGTCAGATTGAAAAGTTGTGAGGGTAACAGTTTATTGAATTGTAAGTGTGACTTATCTTTGGGGAAGTACTGTTGTATGTGTCAGTTGAATATTGGCTAATATTTTGATGAACAAATGCATACACTGCTTCATTTTCTGAGCAGATCCTATTGTCAGGTTAATTCCATCCATACATATTTACCAGACAGCATGCTGACCAAGCAGCAAGTGTTTCCTACACCCTAGTTAGTAAGCAGCTTTCTGTTTGTCAGTGTTATATTGTGCTGTGTGGAGACAAGGGTATCACAGCCCATGGCAACAGGGTGTCCTGTCCATGTTAAGAAAAGTCTTCCACTATTATAGTATGGTATTTCAGGACTGCTGCTGCTGTCACACATATTTAATCTACTTCTTCTCAGACAACAGCTCTCATCCTTTCTGTAATTCTTTTCCCCTATTATTCCCTCCCTGATTTTTGAAAGGCAAGACGGACATACAACCAGATTTATGGCCAGCACCATTAGTCTTGGAATAGCTGCTTAGGATGGGGACGGAGCACATATTGGAATGCTCTGAGTGCTGTGATGTCAGTTCATAACTCAACTCCCTGATTTTTCTCCTCATCCATGGAATTTTGTTCTCACTAATCTACCTTGTATCATTCATGTCCCACTTGCACACATCTTTTTTACAGAAATTATAGGCTGACCTCGGCACCCTAAGCACACTGATGAATACAGTGTTATAAGTGCATTTGTCACTTGTTCTTTAGGATGAATCTGCAAACAACCACACATGTTAACCAGACAGTGAGTGTTTTTCCTGAACCCTGTCAATTAATCAAGTGTCATCTCTGCAGTGAACATGGGCAGTAAGAGATCTCCAGCACACTCTGTCATTCAGCCTAGGTATCCACTGTTTCATACTGCTGTTCGCCCATGTCTTGATGTTATTCTCTCATTTGTATCGTTGTCTGCCTCTTGCTGGCTTGCCTTTAGCTTTCCCTACTGTATGGGTTTTATAATCCTGTTATGTCTTTTAATATGGCCAAAATATTTCACTGGTCTCTTTTATGTTTTCTTTGGAACCTCTGTATTTAAATTGTTTTTTTTCCCCATAAAATACAAACCATTTCTCTGTATGTCTGCATCAGTTGAGAATAAGTATGATTTTCTAATCGTTTATAGAAGGAGGTAAGGAGGTGTTGAAAAAGTGTGTAAGGTCACTCTATATCCTAGCATCAAAATGTAAAGATTAAACAGGAAAGTAAGAGTTCCTTTACACCTTAGCAAGGAGAAGTAAAGATTTAAAAGGACTAATTTTCTTTACATCCTCTGCTAGAAGCGGACAGGCTAAGAAAGTAAATTATTTCTTTTGGTTTGTTTTAGGCTTGTAACTTTGATGCCGCACTGTTTTGCACAAATATGTTGTCAGTTGTCGAGTCTCACAATCGAGCAGGTAAGTTTGTTCCCCATTTTACTTGTTTCTTTCTTTCTGTTTTTCCAGTTTCTTTATCTGTGTCTTGTCGGCTCTGTGGCTAAGTCGATGCGAATGCTTCGTAAGGCCGGGATGCCGGGTTCGATCCCAGCTGCGGGCCTTGCGCCTTACGTTGGTTTCCACAGTGGTATCAAGAAAGCCGACCGTCCAGAAAGTAATGGCAAACTACTGGACGTAAATTTGCCTAGAGAAACCACACAACAGCCAGGGGCTGTTTGGGTTGGTTCTGCAACGTCATGAAAAGGATACACGACAACCTTTATCTGTGTCTTACTGTTTATTTCTCTCTGTTTTATCTGTCATCTTTCACGTTGTTGATAGTTCTGATGATATTTATACTAGATTTGTTGTTTGCTTAGTTCTTTTACACTTCTCTTATCTTATTTCTGTTTAATTTTTACTTACATTTCTCTTTTTGTTTGTTACATGTCTTTCTCTTAGCTTTTTTCTGACAATTGTTTCTGTGTTTTTTGCTGGTTGTAATTCTTCTTATTTTTTCCTCTTTATCTGTCTTCTCTGCACAATATCTTTCTAAGCCTGTTTTCTTCCTTTGTGTGTCTTTTATTTTTCTCCTTTTGTGTATCCATTTCACCTACTCAGTTGTTCACTTTTAACTCTTTGAGTCCCAGGGGGTTTTGCACCAGAGGCCCAAGGGGGGTAATATGATTTTGACTTTTAACAAATGCAGCACTTTAAAAGAAGCCACACAACTGCAGCTGATGTCCAACATACACATATCATACATAAAATTAAACATAAATGGATAAGGATTAATATTAGCATACTGCTACAACAAACAGTTATACCGTTAGTTAGTTTTTAGTAGAGAAAACAGTGACTTAGTTTGAGAGGTGAGTAAATTATGAACAAGTTTTTTCCACTTACCTAGAAGCTGATCCCAAAATTCTTGATATAGTATATCCAAAATGCATCACAAAGGAAGGTACACCACTTATAAGTATGCACAGCCAATATTAAAACAAAATGTGCAATAGTTGTTGTTCCATAGCAGTTTTAAAAACACTACCATAATACGTCAAAATATATTCTCCAGTGGCACAAACAGTGAATTTTCTAAAAACAATTGAATTCCTCACATAGAAAAAAACTGTAAAGGCACTGTAAACATGTCAATCTGTTCATAGATATATATATATGGTTTAGGATGATATGGATAGTAGTACTAGAAGCGCTGACATTTGGATTAGCTGGTGTCGCGTTACGAGGTGCTTCTCTTGTATTGCCATGGCAGAATTAGTCAGTTTTGTCCTCTTAGCAGGAGGTAAATTACGCATACATCCTCATCAAAACTTGACTCGTCAACGGTTTGGGGAAATTTCACGTTTCTACTATCATTGTCCAACTCCACATTACTTTAATCGATCCACTGTTTTATCAAATATGATTCTAAAGCAGTAAATCGCTTTGATGGGCGTGAAGACGATGACTGATTGGACATATTGTTTTCAGACAATTGTTTGGTAACGTAGTAGACCACACAAATATCGATTTAAAGCGTTAAAAACTCACCAGACCCAAACGAATTTACTCCACGTGTGTTCACTACACACTTGAGAACCGGAAAGGAAGTTTAAATTGAGCGGTTCACGTGTAATTACCGATAAGTGGTAAATTAAAAACCGTCACACGTCATGCGCTGCTTGGGCCGCCAAGTAGTAAAAAATGAGCGCGTGATGCGTTCCATGGGACTCAAAGAGTTAAGCCCTGTTGTAGGTCTTTGAGGCTAAACAACATTATATCAATGTTTAATCATCTTAAATTGTGCCACGGCCATCTCCAGCAGTAAGGCCGAACAGGTCTACGAAAATATCCATTTTGTAAGACTGATCCACAGCGCTCTTTGCTCACTATTGTTATTGAGTAAATTTATACACAAATTAAACTACAGTTTAATTAACGTGAAACATATTTTATTAAATGAATTATCATTATGAAGATGAATAAGTGAGCCATTAGAAAATTAAAATAATAAAATATTCATATAAAATCTGTTGCAGGTTAATTAAACTAGTTTAATTTGTGTATAAATTTACTCCATAACAATGGTGAGCTCAGACCAACCTAACAAAACGGGAATTTCCATAGACCTGTTGGGCCTTACTGATGGGGCAGGCCGTGGTTGTACTCAACTAAGCTTTGCTCTGGACGCATATAGCTTTGAGTTCAAAATTATGGAGATTCCCCATGAGGGTTTTAGGTCCTCATTCTGTAAGGGTCGTAGTTTGTAAGAAGCGCTGTTGGAACTACATCGGTCTTGCACTCTGAATGTATAAGACAAGACCTCCCCATCAAGCTCTCATATGGACACTAGAGGGGGGAAAAAAAGAAAACGAGGAAGACCAAGAGAGACTCTACTTAGAACCATCATCAAGGAAGGCTCAATCATGGGCCTTACAAACATATAGGACCTAAAGCAGGTGGCAGTGAACCGCCAGACATGGAGAGCTATGACCTCTGCCCTATGCGCTGCCCTAGGCCCAAGAGAAAAGACTAACTGATACTCCTCCTACCCCCTAACAAGCATGTCATAAAAGGCGACTTACCAAGAGTTCGCTGAAATTGGATATTGGGCCGAAAGTTGCAGCTGTCACAGTCTAGCAGTAAACCACAACACTACATGTCAAACACCTCTTCAGGGCAAGAAAACAAAGAAAATGGACCTGTGTAGTGTGAATGTATGTTAAGCCTGGGCACTTCTCTTTTGCAAGTACTGACACAGATGTGCGGAAGAATTTATCGGGAAATGAAACAAGATGCCAACGAGCCAGTGTGTATATTTACCACCTAATGCAGTTATCAAGACATCCAAACAAAAGTATGGCGGCCAAGAAACAGATTATCAACAGCATGTTCATACCAACATTTCATACCAACACTGTGCTACCTGTGCTAAACCTGAACATTATCAAAATCTAAACTTGTTTAAATTAACACCTGTGAAATGAAATGCAAGAGGAAAGCTGCTTACTTGACCATCCTAGACAAAGTGAGAAATGTTGCTGTCACACCAACTGCGAATAACACAATATACTAAATTCTTTAAAAACCGATCACATGATGTGGTTGTCTTGTTAGAATACACCCACAACTAACAACACATGCAAAGATCTGACGGGAAAGCAAGAGGTCACTATAGGACAATATGGACTGATGACATTAAAGAGCTTCTAGATCATCACAGAATGACAGTAACCATTGCTACCCGTCAATCAATTGATGCAAATTGTTCCTCCCCATGATGCTTAACGGCAGAAGTGCAAAATTGTTGGTGATGTTGATAAACGCAGACATGCTGCCAGGTGATGCTGGAGTGTGAGGTATTAAGCCAGCAGATGTGTTGACTACAAGACCACTCACTAGTTGTAAAATGTACGATCTATAAAGCTATACTGAAGTCGTTATCTTTGAATGATTGCTAGTTGAGGACTCAGTAATACATGCAACAACATGCATGTATGTTTGTGTTTGGATTTAAATGGTTTTCCATCAGAGAGAGAGAGCAAATCCAAAATACATACTAGAACAGTCAGCAACTACACTTTGTACCATTTGATGTGGAAGACTGAGCATGTGTGTGTTTGCTCAGAGTGTTGTATTGTTGATTCTTTAAACCAAGAATAGCAGATAGCCACTCTCTCTGTGTTGTACTCACTTTTTAATTCAATTCACTAATCCCGTCTTTGTCTTATTGTGTCTGTCCCATTTTTATTATTTTTTGGTGGCTGTTCACTTGTTCTGTGTTTTTTGCTGTTCACTTAATCTATCTCGATGTGCTTCTTTTGTCTCTGATTTCTTCACGGTGAACTTAATTTCTGTGTTTCTTTCTTCCCTCTTGGTATTCCACGTGAACTACTCCCTAACAATCACGCATTTGACAACTCCTCAGATCAGGTCAATAGAACTGTGACAGTCAACCACATGATGGAGAAAGTCAACATCAACAAGTCCACCTGGGATGAGTTGATCACCAAAACCAGGCAGCAGTCAAAGAAAGCCACTGAAGATTGTGGTTGTTTCAATGGGGACACCCATTCTTTAACATCCTCCAACAGAGAGAGTCACTGCGACCATAAAATTGCCACAGACACCAGTATAACCAGTAACGACTTTGTCTTTCTCGATCAGAACTGTAACAAGACTGACATTGTAACAACAAACAAGGTTGAACGTGTGACAGAGATAGCGTCTGTACACGAAGTAGTTTCTGTAGGAAAATATAATGCTGCTGTACCAGATTTTTCTACAGACTCATCAACCACTAAAGTTCGGTCAGATCATGGAATGGCACCCCTCTCTAAAACCACACATATTGGCTATCCCCAGAATCACAGCAACAAGTGTAATGGCGCGGAGACCACATCTGTTGTGACACAGAATGGTCTGTCTAAGGACAAAGTCCTTCGGCCCACTCTTAATGGTGTTGTTCATTGTAGCAGCTGTCTTGACCGTAGCTCTGAGAAGTTACAGGAGGCAGTGTCACTGAAGTTTTCTTGCATCCTTCATGCATTAATGTGGGCAACTCAAGGCAAAGACCCATTAGTAGTGGCTAGTGGTGAAGAGTTTGTGGCAGCTTCTGTTCCCGAGAGTTTGCAGGATGTTGACCATCTGCAGATTCTGGTAACCGGCAGTCTTCATCTAGTTGGTGGAGTTTTGGGAGTTATCGACCCTCACATGAATGATTAAGTTTATTTGAACAAAGAAACAAACAGTAATTTGCAAAATATTTTGCCTGGTAATGTTGTGAATTAGGATTATAGCAACTAATGTTATATACTGTTTGTAAGGAAACCACTACCTTATTGCAAGAAAACCACTGCCTGTTGCAAGAAAACCACTACCTTTTTACAAGAAAACCACTACCTTATTGCAAGAAAACCACTACCTTTTTACAAGAAAACCACTGCTAAAGAAAAATAATGCACAAAAGTCTCCTTTTTATTGTGGCTCTCTTTTAAAGTATATGTATTAGCCAGATTGTTTCCAGATTTGTCTTCATATTTTTTCTCTCATTTTTTAGAAAATTAAACAGATTAATAAAACTATTATGTATTTTTTTTTGTAACAGCCATATCCTTGTGCAATTTTATTAATTTTTAATGAATATTTTCAGACTAGCAAAGGACATTATTTGAAAGCTGAATTATTGAATGCCAAAATCTCCATAAATGTCAATTTCCTGACTTGTCTGTAGTGATCTGTTTAGGAGACAAACACCTTCACGCTTGTGCAAGTTCCTCGCAGGTTTAGGAGGCAAGAATATGAATACATTGGCATAGCATTTATTGGGGGTTTTTTTTTTTTTTTTCACTTTAGCCAAATAGCTTTTAAACAAACATTTTCCTATATACCTCAGTGGTAGAGGTTACTGGGTCACAGCATGAGTCACCCAGTATATATGTTTTTAGGCTCTGGGGAATATATTCCAGTTAGCCTTTCACCTTGTTCATGTTTATTGATAACTCCCTTTCATACAAAAGACATACACAAAAAAAATTTTTTTTTTTAAATTTAGGAATTTGTTTGTGGAATTCCAACGGGATTGTGGGGAGTTGTTGAAATATATGAAAGAGTAGTCAAAAACATGAACAGAGTTAAGCATTAAATGGAATACATTCACTAGGGTGTTTAAAAAGCACCCAGAATGTATGGGGTCAAAAATGTATTGGGGCACCTGAGGCTTGGGACTAACTGGAAGTCTAATGCGGGTTGAATTAGCACCATGACTTCATGAACCCTATCTCAGGGCACTAAGCTGGCACTTACCACCACTGCCAGAGGTGTTCTGTAAGGATAGCGGTGCCTCGGACAGCTAGAGGCTGAACAAATTGGATAAAACCCATGTAACGAACTGTCACCACATCATTAACCCTTGAATCCTTTTTTTTTTCCAAATGAGTCATGAATTTATGGAAAGATCCTTAAAGGAAAAAAACAACCAGGTGTCATACATTTAAAAAAAAATAAGTTTTTTGATCTACATTGTTTATCTTTAAATATATGACGGGGCAATCAATAAACATAAACAGAGTTAAGCATTAAATAGAATACATTCTCCGGGGTGTAAAACATTTATGGGGGCCACAGTGTATTGGGGCACTCCACCCTATCTCAGGGGGCTGAATTGGTACCCACCACTGCTTGAGGTGCCTCAGGCAGCTAGAGACTGAACATTTTGGATAGTGAACTCTGTCACGATACCTTTCACCCCATCAACGCAAAAAATAAATTGGTTGTGAATTTACGGAAAAAACAACCATATTACACAGGTCACTAATACATTTTTTTCCCTGAAATACATAAAGGGGTAAAGCGTTAAAAGTGAATACATTCCCCACGATGTAAATAAAAAGCAAAATGTATCAAATGGCTCAGGCCATGACCTTGTGAGCAATATTACAGGGTAGCGGGAAATTGTGACATTAAATTAGCTTTCAAGAAGCCATTACTGTCATAAACACCTTCCTTCAGTGATTTCGTTAGTTAACAATATTCATATTCTGGCCTATTAAAACCGTGTTGGTACATGTAGGACCAAAGAGATTTAACTATACTTTTCAAGAGCAGGTTACCACAGACATGGCCATATATCAGCATTTACGAGTGACTAGATTTAGACTTCTTAGTGTGAAAGAGTTAAACACCTTTTAACTGCACAAAATCTTTACACGTATCCCTGATGGCTGAATATTCATTTTTAGCATGCTGGTTTCGATAAATGTGGTTTAACTGGCCTTTCGTGTGACTGGCCTTTCATTTGACAAGCCTTTCATTTTAACTGGCCTTTTGTTTGACAGGCCTTTTTGTAGTTTCAAAGGGCGCTTTTCCCACAGATTGGGCATATGATGCCAGACTCATACTTTGAAGACCAATAGGCACTAGATGAGTGATGCAGTCAGCATGACTGCTTGGTAACCAATTTTAGGCTAGATCGGCCCAGGAGTCAAGATAATTTTTTTAAAAGTCTATCTAGATGCGGATTATGACACAGGATCTCTAGACAAAAGGTTTCTAGCCGCTTCACTACAACGGCTCCCGTGTGACAATAAGAGCTTTACTGATAATCTTTTTTTTTTTCAGGTAAAAGTAAAAAGTCCTTTTTCCACACAATTAGGTGTATTGGGAATATAGGGCTAGACCTATTTTGATAGACCAATCGGCGCTTGGTGGTTGATTTGGTCAGCATCACGCCAGCCACCTTTACTTCCCAGGACTGCATCTGGTCCCCACTCAAAGCTGGTTCGACCTGGGAGTCAAGGTCCTTTTTAAAAAAAAAGTTCAGCTCTATCAGGGCGCGAACCCGTGACCTTCCGATCCTCCCTTTTTGTCATGTAATACACAGAAATAAATAAATGGGGAACCCTTGAGGCCATAGAAACATATATATATATATATATATATATATATATATATATATATATATATATATATATATATATATATATATAACGTATTGACTGGCACTTATAGATAGTGGAAGGACACACTGGACTAGCACTGTTTAACTAGAAGCCCGCGGGCCAGATTTTGACCTACAAAGGCCTAGCAAGTAGCCCACAAATCATTGCTTGTGTTGCACCAATGATCTGTCCATCTTGGGGCTTGGGCTTCTGGTCCGTGATAATCCTCATGTTCAAAATTGTGGCCCCTGAGTAAACTTAGATGAATAGCCCTTTCTTAAACTATGGCTTTCACTTGTTATGTCTTGTGTGTCCTGTCTTTCTGTTTCTTTCTGTGAGTGCCCATCAATACATGTCTGACTGTTAATTTTATATATATATATATATATATAAAACCTTTTGCTATGGAATGTTAAAGTGTTAGCACAGTAATGAACACATGTTGTTAAGATAGCAGAGTGTTGTGCAGCATGATTGCCCCATGCCAGTTGACAAGGCACTTAATTATGATTGTGTAACATGCAATTGTTGTTAAACCCTTAGTTTCAGGGATTCATTGATTCATTGCAGAAGTTTTTACTCATTTTATTTCATAAAATGTGATTCATTTGTTTTGTTAACATGCAATTTGTTTGCCTCTTCTGTTGTATTCTTTATCTCTATGATGCATCTTTCAAATGATTAAGATGTTAAAGTGTTTGTGGGAGCTATACAGCTAAGTGGTCATGCCAATTGCCCCACATTGTTAAGGTCAAAGATTTATTTCATGAACGTGTTGTTCAGTTCACAAGTGACATTTTTCAGCAGATCCCAGGGGTTTATCGCCAGAGCTACAGAGTTTGTGCTTTGTGCCAAGCTTTTGGCAGGCAGCTTGCTGTTCTGCAGAGAGAGACTCAGCCATATGGGATAAAACCTAGTGCATTGAAGCCTGTCGTCTTGACTTTTAACATAAATTTTGTAAACTTTGGGATGTTGGGGGTTTTTTTTATTTAAATATATGTACCATGTATGCATATCACTATCATAATTCTTATAACTGCACAAGAACTTTTCAAATGATATTTAATTTTTAAAAAGGAATTATTTATTTTTCAGTTTAATGATTGTTGCAACAAAAAAATTGCAGTGTGGTATATGTTGTTGAAGCTTTCCATAAGCACCTTACGGACATCTATAATGAGGCTTCAAGACGAGTCTTTCTCTCCAAGAGCCTCAACAACCAAAATGATGTACATTCCTGTCACTGATTTAAAATCTGACTACATGATGTGTTGTTTAGGAAAATTGTCTCATTTCCGGCTAGTCATTCTTAACCCAACAGGTATCAGTGATCAACATTCTTTATTCTAAGTTTTTGCATGTGTGTGTGCACTCAGAAGTTTTTAAAATAATTTTTTTTGTGGGGAGTAAATGATAAAATTTGGCTGGCTTTTTGGCCAAGTTTTAGTACATGTTTTAATAACTGTTTCTGATGTCAGTCGGAACTGAAGAATGGATTCGGTTCAACTATTACAGCCATTTTGGCAAAAGTAAAACCCTTGTTGGACCCTTGTATCCCCTCTGTGTGGGTTCTGGGGCCCCACTTTCTGGGAACAAGAAAGACCCACTGCTTCCCAACAAGTATATCGTAACAGGCGACTAATTGGGGAGTATTTCCTTTAAAGTTGGAGTGCGTCTGGCAGGTGAGGAGCCAGCAGTCTGCACACAAATAAGCCAGATTGGTAAAATGTTTAGGCATACTCCAGTTCTGTAACAAGACCAAAGTCCTGTAATGGATGAACAGCAAGAACTTTCCCTGAAGTATAGGCCAGTGAAAAAGACGAAAATCCTAATGGAGTCAAAGTGGCCAGCTTGTCACAAGTGTGCATGAACCTTGTTTTGTAGAGTAGCTAACTTCTGTTCTTCTCAGCTGAATAGATCACTCACACTCACTCACAATCAACAGAGCTTCATAACACATCATACTTAAGAAAAATAGACCCCCTGCTCTCCAGCGAGCATGCCATAACAGGCTACTAATTCAGGATTTACTGAAATCGGATTTGTCGACTAAAAGGTGCAGATATCACAGCTTGGCTATAAATCACAGCACAACATAAAAGTTGCAGAGGCGAATCTGATTTTTAAGGATCTTTCCACTTGCACTATAGTCGCCACCAGGAACATGGGAGGTGGCAATCCCAATATGGATGTTTTTTTTTATGTGAGGGTTTCTTTTTAATGATGTGATTTTGGGGGGGGTGTATTGGTTGTGTAATTTGTAAGCTGAAATGTTTATGACTATGT